TGTTAAATGAACAGGGAGCTCTCTGTGCCTGATCCCTGGAAGTTTTCTTTCTGGATCACCTTCTCCCTGCCCGTGGAACAAGTTGGCCTTTGAGGTCCCTTCCAGCCCAAACCAGTCTGGGGTTCTGGGAAGCTTTGTGGCCCTGCCTGTGTTAGTGCTGCTGCAGGAGGAGGCAGCAGGGAAGTGCCTGACTGCACCAGTGCTCCCAGGGGAGGGAAGGTGGGAGATGGGATCGGGGTTTTATTTTCCCTCCATGCTAGACTGAGGTGTTTCCAGCTTCATTACCAGAACAGTCTGAGGTTGTCTGAGCTGTCCCAGTGTCGGGACAAGGGAGCCAAGTGATGTGTGTTTGGTTTGGATGCTGCTCTGAGCAAGTCCATGGAAAGCAGCTGCACAGGGCTCAAGGGATTGGTAGTCTTCCAGTATCAGAAGGGGCCTACAAGGAAGCTGGAGAGGGACTCTGCATATGAGGCAGTGACAGGACAAGGGGCACTGGCTTCACACTGCCAGAGGGCAGGGTTAGTTGGGATATTGGGAAGAAATCCTTCCCTGTGAGGGTGGTGAAGCCCTGGCACAGGTTGCCCAGAGAAGCTGTGGCTGCCCCATCCCTGAAAGTGTCCAAGGCCTGGTTGGAGCAACCTGGGCTGGTGGAAGGTGTCCCTACCCATGGCAGGGGGTGGGAACTGGATGGGCTTTAAGATCCCTTCCAACCCAAAGCATTCCATGACTCCTTGAACCGCAGTGATGTGTGCAGGAGACAGCAGTGGCTGTTGTGCTGTGGCAGAGGTGAGAAGAGCCAGGCCACCAGCAAGGAACACAAACCTCCAGTGCCTCAGTGCCATCAGCACTTGTAGAAACGTCAGCCGGAGGCTCCAGTGGGTTAAATTATCCCAAGGGAGCTTCATTCAGGGCAGACTTCCTTTACTGCTCGTGCTGCAGGCTGGAACTGTGTGCTGTGTGTTTGCTGCAGGGACATCACCCTGCGGTACAAGGAGATCCGGCGGCAGAAGCAGGAGCACAGGCACGAGAAGGACAAATGCCTGAGCAACGGGGACCGGCACTCGGCGCTGCTGGAGGAGCCCAACGGGAACAGACCCCGGGAGAGGAAACTCTGAGCAGCAGCCGCGGGGCTGACGGGAACTCGTGGTGCTCGAGCGGGCCTGGGGCACAGTCCCAACCTCACCCTAACTCCTAATCGTCATTGTTAGCGTTCCAGCGTGTGGGAATCCCCTGGGGGGGAAGGATGGCGCGGACACCCATCCCCCTTTCTCCTCCTGTCGTCGGAGAAGGTCTGTGTGGAGGGAAGTCAGAGCCAACACCGCACAACGGGGACCTTCAGCGGGTGCTGTGTGTCCTCCAGACCAGGTGTGGAGGCGGGGGCTCGGAGCACAGCACACAGGGATCTGCTGCTCTATTCCCGGAGTTCCACGGGGCGTTCGGGCATTAGGAACACTTGTTCTGGGCTGTACAGAGACCAGGCACGGGACATGAGTTCTTTCCTTCCTGCTGAAACTACCTGGAGCTGCGGAGGAGGATTGGGCGAAGTGTTCAGCGAGAGGAACGCGGGTGAACTGAGCCCTGTGACCGAGCTGCTCCTTGCACAGGATGAACCACACTACACTGCTGGTCCAGCCCCTCCAGGGGGGATCTGACTTGACTTCCAGCATCCTGGAGCGGCCTGTGGTAGTTTTGTGGTGTATCACAGCTCTGGGGAGACAGGCAGCTTCTCCTTAGCTCTTATTTTTAATTTCTCTTTTAGTCTTGGTCATCTCTTAAATGTAAGGGAAGGTGAAGTGAGAAAGGTCAACCTGCCTTCGCTCTGCGGAGTAAAATGTGTCACAAGCAGAAACCGGGAGTTGCTCCGTCAGTCTGAAGTTATTTGCCTTGTCCTCAGCTGGGTTTGTGTCCCCTCACCAGGACGGTCTCGCTCCTGGGCTCTGGCACACTCAGGCTCTGCCACCCTTCGTCACTGCCCTGTTCCTCCCGGGGTACCTCCAGAGTGAGGAATCTCTGAGTCCAGCTGGAAAAGCTGTTCCCTGCAGTCCCAGCCCGGCCTCTGTCCCTGTGCCACCCCCCTGCCAGCAGCAGGCCCAGACCAAGCGTGTCGTCCCCGGCACAGTGTGGCCGGGGAGGTCTGAGCATCCTGAGCCAGGCAGTGTTTCTGCTGGTGACTCAGCATCCTGGAAGAGGAATTGGAAACCTGGGCTGCTTTTTTTTTATCCCCCAGGTCGTTATTCCCAAAATGTAAGAGCCCCGGTGAGCGTGGATTCTGTACCCTCTGCTCTGAGCCCTCGCGGCGCCGTCCCGGGCACTGGTGTCACCCCGTCGCTGCTTAAATGCTCTGGTCCAATCAGGCTGCCAAAGGGTGCTTTTCCAGGGAAGTGTTTATCCAGAGGAAAATGGCACAAATGCCACAGTGTAATTCCAAGGGCGTAACCCCAGATTTTGGAAGTGGCAGGAGCTTGCAGGGCTCCTGCCTGGCGAACATCTGTGGTTTCGATCCGGTTTGGTCTCGTGTGGGAATGACAACCAACACCTGCATTTTTCCCAGCTTTGGTGTCCCAGGTACTTCCCAGCCGTAAAAAGTGGTCAATGGGCAGTGTGGAATTCTTGAATCACCGGTTGGGGTGGTGGTCAGGTGACCCAGGGGGACCTGTTACTGCACACCCTTCCCACCAGAGGGCCTGCGCTGGCATCACCCGGTGAGGAATCCCTGCTGTTCCCGAAATATCCTGGAGCTTTTTGCCCAATACAGGAAACACTGGCTCGCCTGCATCCATCTGACAGCTCCCAGGGGCAGTGTGGATCCTGCCTGTGTAATAAAGCCCTGTGTGCAGCCTGTTCCTTGGGACAGCGTGTGCCCTTGGGTCCCCTCTTGTCACCTCACACGTGGAGCTGGGGGGGCTGAGGGGGCTCGGGCTGCGTCCCCACCCCCAGCACACTGGATGGATGATGGATACTGCCCCTCCAGGTAAGGAACATGTCCAAGTTTTCTGGGAAAAAGGTGGGCTCTGATCACGGCAAACTCAGCTGGATTTAGGAATCCCTTTGTGATCACCTCGAGGTGCTCCAAGCAGCCTCATGGGGAGAAGATGAAAGGAGGCCAACAGGCCTCATGGGAATGATGTTTGGGGTGGCCTAAAATAGGACTATCCCTGTGAAGAGGGCAGAGGGGGCAGGCTCCTGCTTCCACACACAGATGTATCCAGCTCTCCTGGGTCAGGAAGCTGGAACAGGTCTGTCCCACCTGTGGTTACACCCTGCCTTCGTAATGATGTTGACCAAAGGTAAGTGTTGGCTTCAAAAGGGAGGAGTGTTTAATAGGTGAGTTGGTGCCTGTGTGAGGCTGGATAAATCCAGATGGGGCCTTTGGAGCTTTCCAAACCTCATCCCTACCCCATCCTGTCTAGAACAGCTTGGTGGGGGTCACCTTTGCCCTGAGGCTGGAGCCCTGCAGGAGGGTGCTGGATCCTGGGCTGTGCCCTGGAGGGGACACCCTGTCCTATCATTGGGGATGCAGAGGAAGTTTGGGAACTGGGAAAGGACCGTGGCCTGCTCTTTTCCAGCTACACCCAGAGGAAGGGCCAGGAAGCCCAATGGAAAGGACCCTTGGCTGCAGGATGAGGCAGCTCCCCCCAGCCAGGTGATGTTTTTGGCACAGTTGTAATTTGCTCTGTTTTTTCCCTGAAAATGAACTCCCCACCGGCAAGATTGTGGGACCATGTCCCAGTGCTGCCCTCCCTCCGGAGCAGGGAGCTGCAGCAGGGGTTGAGCCAGCCCTGTGGCTGACTGTCGTGGGTGTTCCTGGGAATTACAGCTCCTCTGGAATGTCACACTGCTCCGTGGCCCCTGAGACCACCTTTGCTCAGGGTGCGTGGGCTTTTCTCCCCGCAAAGTTGCAATTATTCCGTTTTCTCCAAGCAAAGCGATTCTCCTGCTGTCTGAAATGGCTCCTTAACGCCCTGGAAGTCACCTGGCACTTGAGGTAAGGTGGCTGAAAACATGGGTGTGAAGGCAGGGAAAGGGAAGATCCCCTGGGATGGTGTGTAGGGGCAGTGTGGCCGATGGTCACGGTGTCACAGGTGTGGTGGGCACAGAGCCTTTGGTCTCCAAACTGCCCAAGGGGCTTTTTGGGCCAAATCCCAAAAGGTTCCAACTTTTGCTGCAGAGGGAGAGGATCTGATGGGTTTTTTTCTCAGGAACATCCAGAGCCAAGACCTTGCTGGATGGCTCCAGGTGTCCCCACGGCCAGGAGGGACACAGAGCTGGAAGCTGTTTGGGACCTGAGGATTTGGCTCTGGGGTGATGATCCCACTGGCTTTGGGGGGCACTGGGAGGGGATGTGGGTCCCCATGGAGAGAAACACTCACCAGGATCCACGAGGAGGAGGAGCTGGAGATGCAGAGGTGCAGTGGGAGGGGCGAGGGGGGTCCCTGGGCAGCGGGAAGTGGGATTTGGGGAAGCCCCCTGTGCCCAGAGCTGCCTGCAGGCAGTGGAGGGTCTCTGGTGTGGGACGAGGGAGCTGGCATTGTCCCTCCACGCTCCTGGCTGGGGTTTGGGGTGGGTTTGCAGGGTTTGGGGTGATTTCTGTGGATTTTTGGGTTTTTTTTATGGCAACTTCCTAAGGAAAGCTGCCAGCCTGGGAGGCAAATCGAGAGTGAGAGACCCCTGCATCCCCTCCCTTGGGTGCCCAGGGCAGGGTAGAGCATCCCTTGCCTCCGGGCAGGGTAGAGCATCTCCCCCGCTCCGCTCTGCCCGGGGGGGGTTTGGGCCGGGTTAAGCCAAACCCCGGGGAGGGTCTGGCGAGCGCAGAGACCGCCCAGCTCATCGCACGGATGAGCGGGCAGTGCCGCCCGGCTCCGCCCCGGGCTGGGCTGGGCGAGGGAGCGGAGCCGCTCCCGGTCTGGCACGGCCGGGAAGCATCCCGGATTGGGGGGCGGGGGGGGGCGGAGATCCCGGGGCTGAGCTCCCAACCCGCAGGGACCCCCGGGCAGCGGAGAGGGGGGGCTCTGCCCGGTACCCACCGGCGGGAAGCATCCCGGGAGGGAGGAGCTCCTTGGATCCCGGGGCTGAGCTCAGGGACCCCCTGGCAGGGGAGGGGGCTCTGCCCGGTCCCCACCGCCGGCCGGGCGGACCCCGGCGGTCGCCGCGTTCCCCCCGCCGTGGGAGCGGACACCCCGAGGGTCCCCGCAGACCCCCGAGGATTTGTACCTGTCCAGGTAAAGCGCGGCGGGAGGAACCGGGGGGTGCGGGGGGTGCAGCGGTGGGGGGCCGCCGGTTTGGGTGCCCGTGGGGGTGGGATGGGTCCCCTGCGAGGGGCCGGGGAGGGCGGGGGGTGAGCGCGGAGCCCAAATCCTTGTGTTTTGGCAAGTTTGGGATGCGTCTTTTTATCTGTGCCAGGAGCGAACTCCATCCCACTTCTGTGCCCTGCGGATGGAGGCCAGGCAGGGCAGGAGGGGGATGGAAGGGGCTGGCAGAGCCCCGCCCGGGTGGGCATAGCCGCAGGACCAGTGGCACCAGCGAGCCGAGTTTAGCCCGGGCTCAGCACGCCCGGCACGGCAGGGAGGGATGGATGAGCAGGGAGATGGCTGGAACCTGGACTGGGACATTTGGGGACTGCAGCGTGCTCGGGGAGGGGTCGTACCCAGGTTGGTCCCGGTGCTCTGGGACCAGCAATTTGGTTTCTGTGCCTGCAGCCTCAGCTGGTGGTGGTGCCAAAACAGCAACCGGGTGACAAGTACCGAAGGTTGGGGGGGGACCCCCTTTTCCAGGGGGGACACGCGGCTTTGATGCTGTTTCTCTCTCCTCATCGAGCTGTTTTATTGCCCCTCCAAGCAGGAAAAGGAACCCAAGGTCTGCAGCAGCTCCCAAGGAAAACAAAGCTGCCCTGGCCCTGAGTATTAGGATGTTAGGATGGATGGAGGGGGCTCTGCACCCTGTTCTGGGACTCTGCACCCTGTTCTGGGGCTCTCTACCCCAAACCAGGGCTCTGCACCCTGGTCTTGAGGTCTGTGGGTAAGAAATCCACCTATCCCTGAGCTGCCGGCGGCGGGAGAATGGTGCCAGTTCCTTCCAAATCCCTCAGGTTTGATTTCCCAGGATTTTGAGCAGCAGGTCAGGGGGATGTCAGAGCAGCTCAGTGAAACGCTCCAGGGAAGAGCTTGGTTTACAAAAAAAGCCATGAATCCTTCCCCGAGCACCTCCACCTCCGTTTCCTCGCTCGGGAGAGGTTGATGCTGTTTTCCTAACAGGAAAATACCTCTGGATTTCGTCCTAGAACTGAGCACCGCAGTCTCTTTCCGGGTGATGCCTCGGAAATCTGCTTAACTTGCTGCTTAGAGAAGGAGGGTTTGAGGGGAGAAGCTCTGAAAGAAAAGGAAAATCAGAAATTCTTTTTGATTTCCAAGAGAAATTGGGAAGAGATGGAGGAGCTTTGTCCTCCTGCAGGAAGAGTCGGTCGTGAAAACTTTGCTGTTTTCGTATTAAAAAAACCCAAACACTGGGAAATGTGGAAAGGAGCGAAGCCCCTTGCTTGGGCATGGGAGCTTTTCAGGGCACAAAAAGAGGTGGCAAGTCTCCATCGTGTTGCTGTGTTTGGATGCCAGTTTTCAGCACCAAGCAGCAGAGCATCCCTCTAGCTGAGCTCAGCCCGTGTGTGACACGAGTTCAGCACGTTCTCAGCCGGGTTATTCCTGTTTTATCGATTGCCTGGGGAGGTTTGTGCCGGTGGGAGGAGGCTGGGGAGGAGCTGGGCATCTCCCAGCCCCACCTCAGCCTCGCTGTCCCTTTGGGTTGCATTTAGGACCCCCCCTCCTCCTGTTAACCCAAAAATGGGCCACGTGTCCCTGCAGAGGGTCCCCAGCCAGGCCAGGCCAGCACAGCTCATATTTTCCTCTGTAATACACTGACAGCCCCACCTTTGCCTGTTAAAATCCAAGCCTGGATGGTTTTGGGGAGGGTTGATCGCCCCACAGTGCTTGAAGCTGGAAAGTGAGACCCAAATATTGCGGGATCATCCGTCTGAGGCCAACCCAGCTCCTTCTCCCCTGCCATGAGTAGGCTTTGGGGCTGTGGAAATTCTGGAGAGGGGCTGGGGGGCTCTGAGGGGGGTGGGGAGAGGGTTTAGATGCAGTGCTGAGGTTGGGGGTCTGTGGGATCACGTCAGCATCCCATGGGCTGTGATTTCCTGGCTCGGATGCCAGGGAGCATTCTGGGTGTTTTGGGGGATCCCAAACCCCCTTTGTACAGCAGGAAATAGTTGTCCTGGATAAATCCCCTTTGGCATCCGTGGTGCCTTCACTGGGATCTGCCTGGAGGAGCAGCTTCCCTCCATTAGGATGGATCTCTTGTATGACTCGACTGGGAAACCCCTTCACGGGGGGAAGGTGGCGGAGCTTTCCCACCGCAGGAGCTGATTCCTGGGGAATGGCATCACCTGCAGCAACCCCAAAACTGGGGAGTGGGACTGCCCCCCTCACCTGGGGCCAGGGCAGAGCCTCGGGAGAGTCTGGCAAACTGCAGCAGGAGAAGGAAGATTTAAGCTGGAAAAGCAGCAAAGGGCTTTAAGGGCTGCGGGAGGGAGGACATTCTGGTTGGGAATGTCACCCACTAAACACTCCCGAGGCAAATCGAGCGGCTCTGCCTCTTCCCAAGTGGTTTCCATCCCTCCTCCAGCTCCTGCCGCCGGCTGAGAGGCTTCAGCGCCTTTGCTCAGCGCCTGGAAGAGGAGCCAAGGCCGGGAGCAGCGGAGGGGGAGCAGTGATGGAACGCTCGCTGCAGGAAAATCACAAGGCGTTCGATTTTTGAACGATTTGCCTTCACCCCGACGCCGTGTCTCGCGCATTCCAGGCTGTCCCGCTCGCAGGGAGCGTTTGCCATGGACACCACCGGGCACGTCAGCAGATCCCGCTTCAGCGGTGAGTCCTCCCGAGAGAGCCCGGGGAGGGTTTGGGGCAGTGCTGGCCGGGCTCACACCGAGGTCTTTTTTGGGAGGGATGGCTGGTCCTCGCTGCTTCCCACCGGGAGAACCCTGTGCCCCACACGCCTGTGGGATTTTGTTTACTAAAACGTGGGCAAAACCCTTAAAGCCTCCAAGATATGGGGTTTAGTTTCCTAAAACGTGGGTAAAACCCTTAAAGCCCCCAAGTTTTAATGCTCAGCCCTCGGAAAGGGGCAGGAGTGAGGAGGAAGCAGGTTGCGGTTCAACTGGGATTTTTGTACCTGGAGTTATTCAGAAGCAGGCGCCAGTAAAGGATTATTCTGCCAGTTTTATTTTTATTCTCGAGTTTTGCCCCTCTGTCGTAGCAGGAGCCTGGGAACTCTGGCACGGGAAACCTCTGACTTCTTCCCCCAGCATCCTTAACCGGGATGCAGGGATAAATCAGAGTCCTTATGGGGTTTGGGAGAGGTGGAGGAAGCAGGGCCTGGCTCCTACCCCGAGGTTTAACCCCCGAGATCCCTCTGGGCTGCTCCCGGGATCCGGATTAGGTGCTTTGGATGCAGATAGTCAGTTCCTTCTGCTCATCCTTTCTCTGTTCCTGCCGGAGGAGGGCTGGGGGGAGCAGCAGGTTGTGCCTGTGCTCGGATGCGATGTGGGAGTTCAGCCCGGCTTTGGGCTTTTTCCGGCTCCGAAGGAGGGAGCGCCGCGCCGCGATGCCGGAGGGCTCCCCGGCAGCGCTCTGGGATGAGAAATCCTTTCTTTTCCCGCTGTTTTTGCGCTCCCCGGAGCGGTCGGTGTCGGTTCCGCGCGGGAGTGATGGAGGCTGGTGCAATGCAGCAGGAACCGCTCGCTGGAGCATCGCTGCCCAGCCCGGCGCTCCCTCCCCGCTCGCTCCAGCAGCACCCGGGGGGCTCTGCCCCCGTTTCCAGCAGCCTTTGGGTTTGGTTTTCCCCCTATTTCTGGATTTTCCTGGCATCCCCAGCCCGCGGGGACCCAGGCGGCAGCGAGGGCGATGCAGATGCGCACGGGGCACATCTGTCGGTGGGACGGAGCCGCAGCTGGCGAAGGGACCCCCGGCACCCCGGGAGCGATGCAGCCACTCGCTGGGAAGCGGGGCTGGGAAGCAGGAGCACGTCACCTCCCGAAAAAGCCAAGCCAGGACTGTCATTTTTTTGGCTGGCAAAGCCGCTGCCTGACCCGGGTGGGAGCTGTGGTTTATCCCCCCCCTTGGCCCATCCCGTCCTCGGAGCTTGGAGCCGAGTTCCTGGCGTGGAAGCGGCTGGGGCTGAAGGCTCAGCCCGGGGGTCGTGACGAGCTCACGGAGCCCCTTGTCCCCTCCAGTGGCCTCCAGCCCGCCGCGGTGGGAGATCGGGCTCTACGCCGCCGGCGCCTTGGCGCTGCTGGGAATCGCAGCCATCAACCTCTGGAAGCTCTGGCGCTCCGGCAGCTACCCGGCCCCTTCCCCCTTCCCGAACTATGACTACCGGTACCTGGAGCAGAAGTACGGAGCCGCGTACCCGGACGTCAGGCACAAGGTAAAAGGGGGGAAAGCCGGGTTGGTCTCCTTCCCTTTGCGACGTGTGGGATGCTGGAAGGGTGAAAATATCTCCTGGCTCCCAGCGGGAACGGCCACGGGCGGCGACCCGGTGCTGGTGGAGCGTTTGGGGGGGATCGGCGGAGCTGGGAGCTGCGGGAGGCACCGGGCTCGCTGCCGCGGCAGCTTGGGGCCAGGCAGGGGCCGGGAGGCATCCAAAGAGGCGCCGGAGAAGCCCAGCTGGAGGGACGGGATGGCATCGCCTGGTTTCCTTTCCCTGGCAGCGAGGGCTGGCCCCGGGCTCACAGCGGACGCCGGGTCAGAGCGCTGCCAGCCGCAGGAGCAGCCTGAGGGCAGAGGACACCTTGGAGAGCATCCAGGAGCTGGGCAGCCTGGAGCTGATGGGCAGAGACCTGGGCCTGGCCCACTACGGCCCCCTGAAGAAATCCATCTCGGCCGACTCCCTCAACTCCATCTCGTCCATCGGGAACAACTTCGGGCAGGATTTCACGGTGGGGCAGGTGGAGGTGTCCATGGAGTACGACGGGAAGGCGGCCGCCCTGCACGTGACGCTGCTGCAGGGCAAGGACCTGCTGGAGAAGGAGGACGCGCGGTTCGAGTCCTGCTTCATGCGGATCAGCCTCCTCCCGGCCGAGCAGATCGTCGGCATCTCCCGGGTGAGTCCCCCCCAGGCCCCCCGCGGAACCCCGGCGTGGGATTTTGGGTGGCAGCATCCCTTGGGCACACTCCCCAGGGCAGTGGTGGGGGTTTGTTTGGGAGCAGGGAGCTCCGGACACATCAGGACCGGGTGCGGTCGGCACGGGATTTTGGGGGTTTCAGCTTCCCGAGGCAGTGGGAAGTTTGGGGGTTGGGGTTAGGAGACTTTCAGGCATGCCAGGGCTGGATATGGTTGGCATGGGATTTTGGGGATCTCAGCTTCCCAGGGCAGTGACAGGGGTTTGGGAACAGGAAGCTCCCGGTGCGTCGGGACTGGATGCAGTTGGCACAGGATTTTGGGGGGTGTCCCAGGTGGGTTTGCACATCAGAGGCTTGGCAGAGGCAGAGGTGTCTCCCCTTTGGCTGGGATTTGGGCTGACTTTGTCATCTCCGAGTGTGGCTGGTGGCAGGTTATCCTACTTGAATTGCCCTGCTCCAAGTGCCGGGGATGCTGTGGGAGGTGGAAGAAGTGGCCTGGGGTGAAACTTGGGGGGCAGTGGCAGTTTGGGCAGGTGCTCTTAATGTCTTGCCATGGTCCCACAGCCCACCTGAGTCCTCACAGCCCCCCTGAGTCCCCAGAGGCCCTGCAATCCCTCTCCTTGCCACAGCTTTTCCCTCTCCATGCAGAAAGATCCATGTGGCTGCAATGTCAGGTCCACCACCGGGGGTGGATTTGGGGCAAAACTTCTCTTTTTAAGCGCCCCTCAGAAAGCAGGAGCCTCAGTTTTCCTTCAGCAGCTGCTTTTTGGAGAGCTCAGGGTCAGCCAGTTTGATTTAACCGAGATATTTATTTGGAATCTTCATCCCACCAAGAAACCCCTCAGTGGGGGGGAATGAGGTGTCGCTCCGTGCACACAAACCCTCTGCTGCCTCCAAAATATTTCCACAGAGCCCTTTTAGACCATTTTTCCATCCAGATCTCAGGCTCTTCGTTTTTGCTCTGGAGGTATTTATTATTTAGCATCATTATTTATAATTCACCAGCACTCTGTCCTCAGCTGCCCCCAGGCCACAGATGAAGGCCCAGTCGGAGCTTTTGGTGTTGCTTATGGAGGGGTTTGAAAAAACAGCTTTGGGATCAACACCTTCAGGATGGGCCCCTGGAGCTGCTGCTGCCTCTGCTCCCAGGGAATGATGTGGCACGGGGACAGTGTCAGCCAAAAGGCACCATTCCCATTGGGCACATCCAGGGATTGGTTCAGCTCCGTCTCGGAGTGGGGTTGGGAATTACACCCCCTCAGCAAAATCCTGGAGCCCGATGTGGCCAAGCCAGATGCACATCCAAGCTCTCAGGGTGCCTGGATGGATCTGAGAGCACCAGACCAACCTCAATTTTTTTAATTAAAAGAATTAACAGGCGCTGGGGGCAGGTCACAGCCCTGATTTTTGCCCCAGTGGCTGAGTGGCTGCTGGGGTGGGGTGGGAAATAACTCATCCCCGTGGAGGCTAGGACCCCCCAGCTCCATCAGGCCGGGGATGCCCTCCCTGACTTCGTTGTTCTCGGGGATGCCCTCGCCCCCCGAGGCCACGAGCTCCTCGCAGCTCCCATGAGGAGAGACAAGGTGGGTCTTGCACGTAGCCCCTAAACCCGAGGGGTGCCAGGGCAATCCCTCCTTCCCGTGGCAGATCCAGAGGAGCGCCTACGCCGTGGCCTTCGACGAGCGTTTCTCCATCCCGCTGGACCCGGCGGCGCTGGAGGAGAACAGCCTGCGCTTCTCCGTCTTCGGCATCGACGAGGACGAGAGGAGCGTCAGCACCGGCGTGGCCGAGCTCAAGCTCTCCGACCTGGACCTGGCCACGCGCCCCTTCAACGCCTGGCTCTACCTGCAGGACATGAGCAAGGTGAGCGGGGCCGGGGGGGTGCCCCGTCTCCCACCTCGGGTCTCGGGGGGGGGGCTCCCAGGGGTCGGTGGGTGACGGGGCGTTGTGTCCCGCAGCCCGTGGACACGGTGGGGGAGATCCTGCTCTCCCTGAGCTACCTGCCCACGGCCGAGCGGCTCACGGTGGTGGTGGTCAAGGCCAAGAACCTCGTGTGGACCAACGGCAAGGTGACCGCAGGTGAGCGGGCTGGGGGGGGCCGGGCGGGCACGGGGGGCCCGTGGTGGGCTGAGGTTTGCCCTGGTTTGCGCCAGTGACCACACAGATCTTTACTGGAGCGGCTCCCGCTGAGGAAGGGCCACTAGAGAGGGTCCCCCCTCTTTCTCCACGTCCCTGGGGACACGTGTGACTGACCCTGGGGACACGTGTGACTGACCCTGGGGTCTCTCCCCCACCTCTCGAGCAGATCCCTTCGTCAAGGTGTACCTGCTGCAGGACGGGAGGAAGATCAGCAAGAAGAAGACGGCGGTGAAGAGGGGGGACACCAACCCCGTGTTCAACGAGGCCATGATCTTCTCCGTGCCGGCCATCGTGCTCCAGGTCTGGCCCAGCTCGGGGCACATCCCACCGCTCCTCGAGCTCCCCAGATCCTCCAGTGGGGAGTTCCAGGAGGATGAGGGGTTCTGGGGGGATCCTGGGAGCTGTGGGGGCCAGGGGTGTGCAGGGATGGTTTGGGGGTGTATGAGTGGGGCAGGGCATGGAGCAGACATGGGGAGGGGCTTTTAGGGGGATGTGGGTGTGGGTGACTTTTGGGGGATTGGTGGGGGGACTGTTTGGAGGGGATGTGGATGTGTGGAAGTGGCTGGTGGGGGGGATGCGTGTGGGGGACTCTTGTGGGGGGATGTAGATGTGTGGGCTGGGATATAAGGTGTGCATATGTATGGGGGGGTGGTTGTGTATGTGGACAGGGGCATATCTGGATTTAGGGGATGTGGGGAAAAATAGGAGGATGTTTAAGTATGGGGGTATTAGAGGGTGTGTATATATAGTGGCATGGGGGGATTTGGGGGAGGTTTCGAGTGCAGGGAGTGGGTTTGAAGAGGGTGGGGGCACAGAGGGCTGTACGTGGGGTACAGCTGTTTTGGGGGTGAATTTATGGGGTGGAGGGAGTATGGACGGTCTGGCACTATGTGTGTGTGTGTGCACTTGGGAAGAGCACAGGGATACGTGTCCGGGCTGGGGGCCGGCGTGTGGTGACACCCCCGAGCCCCCCAGGAGCTGTCCCTGCGCGTGACGGTGGCCGAGAGCGGCGAGGACGGACGCGGGGACAACACGGGCCACGTGCTCATCGGCCCCACCGCCAGCGGGATGGGCACCACGCACTGGAACCAGATGCTGGCCACGCTGAGGAAGCCCGTGTCCATGTGGCACCCACTCCGCAGGAATTAGGGGGGCTCCTGGGGGGGGCTGCACCCCGACGCCGGCTCTGCCGGGCACCGCAGGGCCCGGAGCCGCCGGGCAGGGGCTGAGCAGGACTCTGTGACACCCCAAAGGCCGAGCTGCCGGCACCTCAGAGGGGCAGCTCCTGCCTAAAACACCCCGAGGATGGGTGGAGCGACTCTGTGGCTTCATCTCTGCCCTCCTGGGTCCCCCACACGTGGGGACTGACGGACAGACCCGCTGGCAAGGAGCCCAGATGGACCAAAACCAGCCAGAACCTCCCCAGACGGCTGGGCTGAGCATCCCAGCGGCCTCAAAATCGGTGGAATCCTCAAACACGGACCCTAAGGCTGCACGGGAGAGGGGGGATTCCTTTGGAATGTGGGGTTTTCTGAGGGGGGTGATAAATGCCAGCATGGTGTGGCTCCTCTCGGCGAGAGCGGCAATCCTGGGGGGATTTTTAAGAGGGATTTCGGCGTGTCGTGCTGGGGACAGAATGTTTCCAGTGAGAACGGAGAAAGGGAGCAATAAGAGCAGAAAAAGCAATTGTTATTACATATGGCTTCTCCTTCCATCTGTTTTCCCACGCAGTAAATCCCTGCCCGTCTCCGCTGGCTGCAAGGAGGGGGCTGGACTTGGTTTCCAAGCTCTGGGGTTTGAGGGTGACAGGCAGAGGGCTCCGCTGGAGCCCCTCGTGGCAGGGGATGCCCTGGGGCCGCATCCCCCCTTGCCTGCAGCCTCGGCTTTTCCCTGCCTGCAGGATGCTGGTGGGGAGCCAGGCTGGGAAAGCTGGGGGCCGTGTGCCAGGAAAGCAGCGCCGCAGGGCGAGCACACACTGGGATGTGGCTGCCTGGGGGAAAAAAGTGGGAATGAGCCATTTAGCCGTTTTCCCCCCATTAAAGGTGACTGCGAGGTGAGTTATCCCGTGAGCTGGTGACACTTTTCCCTTCTCGTCTGTCCTGCCTGACCTTGGCTTTGGGACAGGGCTGTGATGTCCCTGTTCCGTCACACCCCTCTGCTCCGGCTCCTTTCCCGTACGTGCCCGTCTCCGCTCACTGATGCCCAGATTTCCCTCTCCCATGCTCCATCTCCTCCTCCTCCCCACCTTCCCCTCCAGGAGCCCCCCTGTCCCATCTGCTGCCAGGTGAGTTGGTGCCATCGCTCCGTGGCTGACGCACGGCCGGCCCCAGGCACCGAGGCACGAGCCAAGGATGGAGGGGCTGGAAGGATGAGCTTTTCTGAAGGCTTTTTTGGGAAGTTGTTCACAGCCAGTACTCACAGGCCCCGAGCTTTGGGGGGAAAATTTTCTTATTAGCTACCGCAGCCAGCTTTTGGGAAGAGACAGACACAGAGATCCTTGGCTGTCCTGCAGCTCCTGCCGAGTGCTGAGCCTTGCTCGGGATGAGGTGAGTGACTTCCACAGGTTCTGGAATCACCCCGGGCAACATCGGTGATGTTCAGCCCCAAAATGATGGGGAACATGTGGTTTGGGGCTGTTTATTGTGCCCCTCTCTGGACATTCCTCTTTCAAGGCACCTCAGCACCTTTTCCTTCATCCTGAGGGCAAAAAAACGCTGCTGGAGCTATTTTTGGGGAGGACGGGTGGACCCTGTGAGTGGGACTGGAGCCAGCAAGGAGAGGGGATAGGGCAGGGGCTGTGTGGGGATGGAGAGAGGCTTTGGAAATGGGGATCAACTGGCAAGAAGCAATGTGAGAGATGGATTAGTTTGGGGGTACAGGATTGGGAGAAGGCCTGGGAGGGACACGAGGCTCCCTCCTGCCTTTGCTGCTGTGGGGTTCCCAGCGGATCTTGGTGTCCCAGGAGCTCCCCATGCCCATCCCAATGCAAGCCCAGAGCAGGGCTGAGCCCCCTGCCAAGCCCCTCTCCTGGGTGTGAGGGGATGGGACAGCCCCGAGGGGTTTGGGCTGTGCTGGCTGTGGTGTGGACACACCGGGTCACTCCAAGCAGTGCCAGAGGATTGCTGGGCTGGCACCCATTTCCTTAGTCACCCTCCCCGGAGCAGAGGGTCACCCGGGGTTTCTGGTGCCTCCCACGTTCCTGCTCCCAGACATCCATCTTTTGCTGCCTCAGGGATTGACGTGACAGTGACAGCTCATTGCTTTGGGTGTTTAATGCCTGTTGTAACCGTGAGCTCCAGCCTCTGTGAACATCCATCACCGTGTCCATACGGATAACCAGGACAATACAGCACCTCTCCCTCCCCAGCCCCTGGCTCCAGGCTGTGTCCCCCCCAAAATCGAGCCCCCCGCTCCCCCCGGGGCTCAGCAGCTCCGGCCTGGGAGGGCTGAGCGGCGGCTCCGAGGTTAAAGAAGCGGATTCAGGTCCCTCATTTCTCCTTGTCTTTCTTTCTGCCCTTCCTCTGGCTCGTCAGCTCGCTGAGCTTCTTGTCCAGGCGCCGCTGGAGGTGGGCTCGCTTGGCTGGGTCCAGGGATTTGTCCTTGGAGCCACTCCCGGGGTACAGGACCCCTTCCCTGCTGATCCGCTGCCGCGCCTGGGCCTTGGCCTTGTCCCCACAGCCGTGGGCCTGCAGGGGGAGAACGGACACCAGCTGGGAAGCAGGGCAGGGATCACCCACCTGGGAACCAGGGGCTTTCCTTCCCGGAGCGTGGAATTCCTCTTCCACCTTCGCATCCTCCTAAAACCATCTCCTATCATTAGTAACCATGATTTACATTCTTATTTATTTTTAATTATTGTTTATTATCTATATTTATCGTTATCTATTATTATTACATTATATATAATTATATATTATATATAATACTATATATACACATAGGTTTGTTTTATTTTAGCTTTTAATTTAATTTTCATTTTATTAATATTTATATTTTATTGTTATTTTTAAATTATATAAATTTATAGATTTATCAGATATTATAATCATTATTTATTGTTAATTATAATCCACCTTTTATTATTATTAACAAATGATTTCTTATTATTATGTATTTCATTAAACCCTCATTTATGCTTCAGAACAAAATATAAAGGGGATTCTTCTCCTCCTGGACTGCACAGCTGGCAAATCATCCTTTGGGATGAAATCAAGTGGCTCCCTCTGCTTATACTATTATATATTAATTTTTATTTTTGTTTACTATTCATTATCATTATTTATTCTTAATAATAAATTGATGCTTAATATTATTACTTATTCTTATGTATTATTATATATTTTGTTAAACCATCATTTATAGCTCCTCTCACGAAATATAAAGGTGATTTTTCTGCTCCTGGACTCTGCCCAGGCAAGTAAATCATCCTTTGGGATGTTTCAAGTGGCTCCTTCCACTTCCTTTCCAGTGAACTGGGAAAAGTAATTTGGGGAATAAGAGACCTTTTTAGCCACGGATCTGCTCCTCTCATGTAATTTGATCTGTCTCCTGCACTGGAATTAAAAAACCTTCTCGTATAAAGCTCGTTCTGTGCAGGCAAAGCTCTCCCAGCCCAGCCTGTGCTCCAGCCCTGGCCGTGTCCGAGGGGTGTGGAGCCAAATCCAACACCAGAATCATCTCCCACAGGTGAGATCCTAAAATCTGACCCCTTCTCCTGGTCCATCCCGAAGTCATTTATGTTTCCACAACCTGGGGTCCCAGAGAGCTGTGGCAAAAGCCCCGGGGCTATTCCACATCGAAGCCTGATAACATCTGGGAAAAGGGATGGGCTTTAAAAAGCAAGGAAAACTGTCCAACAGGGATTTGAATCCCTACAACTGTTCCTCGTTGGAGGCTCGTTACAATTCGGCAGGGAGAGGCGATTCTGCAGGATATAAATTCACATCCCCCCGGATGGTGAGTGACCATAAACACAGCTATTCTTTGCCATGGAAACAGATAGCTCCTGACAGGGGGAAAAGCTGTGCCAAGGATTTATAGGGCTGCTGAGCTCGGGGAGGCTCCACAGGGCACGGAACTGCGCCTGGGAGCTGTGGGAGGAGGGTCAGGGGCACAGGGAATTCTGAATTGCTGACCAGGCAGCACTTCTCCGTGCTGGGGACCTGTCCCCAGGATGCAGAGGGAACCTGGAAAGGGCTGGAAATCACCCCTGGGGTGCAGAGGGAATCTGCAAAGGGCTGGGAATTGCCCCCAGGATGCAGAGGGAATCTGGAGTCTAAGCTCCCTTGAGTCACTGCCTTAAGCTTGTGCCTCTCCATTTCTCCTCCCTGCCTCGACGGCCTGAGGGTATAAATGCCAAAGAAGGGCAAAGTGAGAGGAAAAGAAGGAAAAGCTCTTGGGAAGAGGTGGGCAGAGGCCCGGTGTGGCACCTGGCAGCCCTGTGTACCTGCAGCTCAGCACAGACTGTGACAGGGAGGGCCCTGCTGAAACCCCCTGCAAGGAAACCCTGCCCAGGGAGCTCCACAGGGAACATTCCCAGGTCAAGCCCGCCCTGCTGTACCTCGGGGACGTGGTGGCTGAGGCAGTAGCACCGGTGGCAGTGGTGGCAGAGCTGGCCCAGGGTTGTGACAGAGGCTTTGCAGCGGGGGAAGGCACAGGTCCTGTCAGCCTCCATGGCCGCAGAGATCAGAGCGTCGAAATCTTCTCCCGCTCCGCTCCCGACCGCTGGCTTTCCTGGGAAAGGTGAGCAGACACCTGGAATGGGGACTGGCAACAAACCCACCCACCTACAGCCACAGCCTGGGCTGCCTCTGCTTCCTTCAGTGTGGGTCCCCTTAGCTCCTCTCTCTGCATTTGGGAGTCTCCCATGGAACCCCTGAGCCTCTTCCCTGGGAAAGGGTCCCCAGTGTTTTTCTTCTGACTTAAGGAATGTGCCTCCAGGTACCCAAAGCCCTCTCCCCAGCTGCTGTAGCCAACTGATGCACGTTCCTGCCAGTTCCCACCCCTCTGACAAGCACCGGGGAGCTTTCCAAGAGCCACGTGCTTCATGCACATAGGCAAATCCCAAGGTCTGGAGCAAACCCACAGGGATTAAGATTCGCTCGAGGAAGAGCATTAATTGTGCTGGTTATGAAAAGCCTGACCTACCTTTGGCTTCGCTTTTGTCCTTTTTCCTGCTGCTGGTGCCGGGCTCCCGCACCTTCCTGGCCGCCTCCTCCCGTCTGGCTTTCTCCCTCTGGACTCTCTCCAGGTGCAGGGATTTCAGGTCCACTTTCCCCGAGCCCTCGCTGCTCCCCCCCGGCTCCGCAGGGACAGGGGTGCTCCCGCTGGGATGCTCGGGCTCTGGAAGGGGCTGCGGGGGCTCGGGGGGCAGCTCGGGGGGCTCCACGGGGTCTCTCTTACGGACACTGATGTACCTGTCCCGGCCCTCCCCGGAGCTCAGGTGCTGCAGCCCGTACTCCTCTGCCAGCAGGTGAACCAGCATCCGGTCGTGGGAATTCAGGGACGGCGGGAAATCCAGCTGCACCTCGCCGCTCGCCAGGAACGCCACCAGCGCGGCCCTGAACCTGTCCCCGGCATCCTTTGTCCCCGAGTCCTCTCTCCCAGCTCCGGTGGCGTTCCGGGAGGAACGTGCTCCCTGTTTCTGGCTCCCAGCTCCGGCTGCTGCTCCCGCCTTTTGCTTCCCGCCCAGAGCCGGCCGCGGTTTGGGGCCGGACGCCGCGGGCGGTTTCGGGCCCTGCTGCCGCTCGCCCCGGCCCTTCCCGGAGTAGTTTTGGGGCACGAGGTCATCCAGGTACTCGAAGGCGGAGCGGACGTGGCCGTGCCGGGAGAAGTGGTCCAGGAGGCGGCGCAGGAAGGGCTGGCTGCCCACGGTGTGGCTGTCACACACCACGGCCACGTGGCGCCGCGCCCGCGTCACCGCCACGTTGATCCGCCGCTCCTCCGCCAGGAAACCCACCTCACCTGGGAGAGGGACGGGAAGGGCCGTGGGAGGGAGGGATCCAGGCGAGGGGCCGGTCCCGGTGACCCAAGGGTTGCGTGGCGGAAGGGTGGGAGTCGGCGTTTACGGGGTCCCCGCTCACACCATCCCATTCCTCTTTCTACCTGTGTTTCGCCACCCGCAGCCAGAGCCAGGGCTCCACACTGAGCTCCTGGGATAGGGAAGAGGATGGAAGGCACGTGGAGAGGAGAAATATTTCCCTGGCTGGCCCACAGCACGGGACCAGGTTGGATCTGGGAGCGAACGCAACGCTGGAGCAGCGCGGAAAAGGCTCACCTTGCGACAGAGGGGGAACTGCAGGTAAAGAACCTCCCCCTGTCCCACAGAGCTCCCTCGTCCTTGGAGGGTCTAGAGGAACAGCCATTTAGGAGCTTGGGGAGGTTCTCCTCTGCTCACAGAGCAGCAGTGCTGGGATGACTCAGGGAGGATCAGCCAGCGAGAAGGGGAGCGTGGGCGGCTGCCGAGCTTCCAGCTCCAGGGAATAGAGAGGAGGCCAGTCGGGAAGAGATTAATGCCTCCACCGGAGCTGTGCCCAGCCTGGCTCTGCTCCTGCCGTGCCTCAGCAGCCTAATTTGTGCTGCCTTTGAGGGATGGGGTGAGGGTGAGCCCCTCTCCGGGCTCTGCAGCTCGGAGAACCATTCCCAGCTCCTCTGATGTGGTTTAGCCTGGCTAGAGGGGCAAGTCCAACTCCTTTGATCTGGGAATTAGAGAATCCTGGAATGGTTTGGGTTGGGAGGGACATTAAATACCATCCAGTCCCACCCCCTGACATGGGCAGGGACACCTTCCACTGGCCCAGGTTGCTCCAAGACCTGTCCAGCCTGGCCTTGGACATTCCCAGGGATGGGGCAGCCACAGCTTCTGTGGGCAACCTGTGCCAGGGCCTCCCCACCCTCACAGGGAACAATTTCCTTTGAAAAGAAGGAAAAGGTTTCCTGCTGGATCAGGAATGGTGGCAGAGGGACAGGTCAAGGTGCCTGGCCTGCTCTGAGTGGAGAAATGCAGCTGCAAGAGGTTATGGATTTCTCCCAAGGGACTCAGAGAGCACCAATATCATCTCTTGTACCCCATGCAGGAAAAGCCTCCCTGTGCCCCCAGGAAGGCAATTCCTGCCCCACTCCTGAGCTCTGGCTGCTCC